AAAAAAAAAAGGAAACCAAACCAAAAAACCCCCAAACCAAACCCACCCAAACCCTTCCCCTAAAGGCACCAGGACAAGCTTGTGCTCTCTTCTGGAGGGAGCCCCGCGAAGTTGTGTGCGTGTGTGTATGTGTGCGTGCGTGTGTGTGTGTGTCGGGCTGCCAACCTGGAGCGCTTTTCCGGGGAGAGGAAGGGAAGCAGGGAGGGAAGGTCTTTTATTTCGCTGCTTGTTTTGATGGTCGCTCCCAGGAGGCTGCGATTTTCTGCTGCCTAGTTAGTGCCCCTTAATCCTGACTCGGGAGTGACTCAGTCGACGCTTGCAAGGGCTGATTATTTTTTTTTATCGGGGGAGGCAGGGGTTCAGACGGGGCTGGGGCGTAGCGGTCGAGGTACGGGCGAGCGGCAAACGCAGCACCGCCGCGGCGGCGAGGGGGATGGCGAGGGGGGAGAGAGGGATAGCCCAGGGCAGGTAAAGGAGAACCCATCGTGTTGGTCTTGTTAGGCTTTTTATTATTATTATTACGATTTAATTGAATTTTTGTCAGTCTTCAGTGGTAAGCGCTGGCAATTTTGCACTGATGCTGTCTTTACAAACACGTCTATCCTCCTCCTTCCTTCCCTCTTTCTCTTTCTTCCTCTCCCTCTCTTTTTAGTCACGATTTCCCGAGATAAATGAATGCGCATTTGATGGGTGTGTGAGATGTGGCCCATCCAGCTCCCGTAACACAGCCCTGTCGATGCGATTATGCGCTGTACCGGTCGTGCTTAGAAACAAGTGGGCAAGTGATTTTATTTATTTTTTTTTTTAACAGTTTGGATTGGTTGAAGAAGCCAAGGGGGGTATTTTATTACTAGTCCAAAACAGTGCTCCAGCTTCCAAGTTAAACTTTTGGGGACACCACCCCCCCCCCACACACACACTTTTTTTCGCGTAAACACAGAGGCTGGAGGAGGAAAACGTGAGATACCTTTTTTTTTCTTTTTTTTTTTTTTTTCCCCCTTTCTTTGAGAGAAGGGAGAAAAGGAGCTCAGCTCGCCTCCGCGGCGAGGTGCCGGCTTGGAAAGCAGCAAACTTTCCTCGGGAGGAGAGGGAGCCTGAGCCGCCGCCCGGCTGGGCTGCTTCCCCGCGTCCCTCTGGATCTGCCGGCGGCTCCCGC